CTGGAGTGCAGTGGTGCAATCACAGCTCACTGCAGCCTCAAAAGCCTGGGCTCAAGGGGACCTTCTCACTTCAGCCACATGAGTAGCTGGAGCCATAGGTGTGCACCACCATGCCAGGCTAATTTTTTTAAAAAAATTTATGGAGACAGGATCTTGCTATGTTGCCCAGTCTGGCCTGGACTTCCTGGACTTCCTGGGCTCAAGTTGCCCAGTCTGGCCTGGACTTCCTGGACTCACCTTGGCCTCCCAAAATGCTGGGATTACAGGAATGAACCACCATGCCCAGCCAGAGTGTTGTGCTTTATATTACAGTTGATAGATCTTACATTTCAGAATGTTTCAGAACTCTGTAGATTTTAATATTCCTATTGTTTGTTGCCAAATACAACTAGTCAAAATTCATAATTCTAACACAGTTATAAGTACCAGAAGCAATTACTGGGTTGCATATCATAGATTTTTAACAAATTGGTGTATTAATACAGTTTTGTGATAGAAAAAATCTGCTAATGAATGCCAATTTTACAAAATATGGATTCTCCAAAGCTGGTTTTAAAGTTCTACATGTTGGAGGTTGATAAAGAGTATCCCTTCTGGAATGTTTCATGAAATAAGTATATAGACTAAGTTACAAAAATGTTTTGTGCACCTGGTAAAAGCTAAAATTGTAGCATTTAGTGCATAAAAGTAGAGAGAATCCTAGTGCAGTACTTGCTAGCGGCCAAATGGCTCTGAGACTAAAATACTGTCTCCCTGAGTCTCAGTGAATTTCAGAGATATACAAATCCCCACATACTTCTGCAGTCACCTTTCACAATCTTCAATCTTCAACTCCTTGGCATGATCTCAATGAGTTTTTACACTGCTTCTGAGTTTTAATGAACAGCTTTCTCTTCTTGTTGTCAGTCTACCGTTGTTATGTGTTGTCAATCTTACCATTTCTTCAATGTTTTAAAGGGGCCAGAGTCTTGACAATCTCATCAAAGTGACCCCTGAAGTAAACAGAAGTAACCAAGGGTGAGGACTATGTCTTACCTCTCTTCCTTCCTCTTCCCCATCCATTTGTGTCACTCAGGAAAGAAGATGTGTTGAAAAACCTTTGGATTGGGATCAGAAAGTCTGAACCCCATTACTTACTAACTTGATGTCCTTGAACAAGTCCCGTGAATGCTGAGCTACAGGCTCCTTAGTTATAAAATGAGAATCATAATATTTGTTTGTCTGGGTACGGTGGCTCACACCTGTAATCCCAGCACTTTGGGAGGTCGAGGCAGGCGGATTACTTGAGGTTGGGAGTTCAAGTCCAGCCTGGCCAACATAGTGAAACCTTGTCTCTATAAAAAATACAAAAATGAGCCAAGCATGGTGGAGTGCACCTGTAGTCCCAGCTACTTGGGAGGCTGAGACAGGAGAATCGCTTGAACCCAGGAGGTGGAAGTTACAATGAGCCGAGATCCAGCCACTGCACTCTAGCCTGGGTGACAGAGTCAAACACCATGTCAATAATAATAATAATGATGATGTTTGGTTTTTATCACTTGATAGTTGTTAGGAATGAATGAAATAATGGGTATAAAATCCATTTTTGAAAGAAGGATATTACAAATGGAAATGATGAACAAAACAGTTTAGTTATAGCTGTAACATTAGATGGAATGCTTAGGGGAACCAGGTGAGAGTTTTTAGCAGATTATTATGTCATTCATTAACTGATTTTTTTTAATGGAGTCTTGCCCTAATTGTATGGTTTTATTTTGGGGGTAAATGAGAAACTATGTCAGTGTACCAGTGATTGGTAGGAAGGTCACAAAGTTTAGTCTTTTAAATTAAGAGCATAGTCTTGTACCAATTTATCTCAAAGCTTAATAGTAAAATTTATCTTGAGTACATATATCCTTTAAATTGAAACAGCCAATTTATTTAATTCCACTTTTATTTATCATGTTTTTTGTTTTTTGTTTGAAGTTCCAAAGACCTCAATGACTTCATCAAAGTGAATCCAGGAACAGAAAAAAGTACTCAAGGGTAAGATTTAGTAAGCTCCCTTTTTTTGTTTCATAGTAACCAATGCCTAAAAGTATAATTAAAGCCTCATTTCGGCTGACTGATGGTGAACCCAATGATCCTTCAGGAGAAGCCGTGTAACCCTGCCTACTTCACATCTGAAATGTTAAAAATTTTGGTCAACCAATTTCTGATACAATGAGAGTACTCTTTGACTAATCAGGAATAAAATTGTTTTCCCACCATGGACAGGACATTTTTATTCATTGATTTATTATTTTTCTCAAGCAGAAGGGATGACATAGTAGAGGAGAAAGAGAACTAGACCGGACCCCGTAGTTGTGGGTATAAGGCCTGTCTCTGCTCCTCTTACCTGTGTGTGCTCAAACTAGTCACTTCTATTTAGGCTTCAGTTTCTCATCTGCAAAGTGAGGAAATTGCACCAGGAGCTCTCTCAATACTCCCAAGTCTAATTCAGTTACTAAGTTCCAATAGATGTTTGGTGTCATGATAAGGCACAGGCATTCTGCAGCCAGATTACCTAGCTTTAAATCCCAGCTCTGCTACCACTAGCCATGTGGGAAAATTACTTAAGCTTTCTGTGTCT